TGACTGGTGTTTTATGCTAAAATTTTCACCATCAGCCAGAATCTTGGCATTAATGTTGGAGGCTTTATCCCTGTTTGGCTGAGGTCAGAGTAACCCTAGAAATAATTTATAAGGGACACCTGAGTCTCAGTGAGATGTGGGTGACTTTCCCTCCAACTGTGTACAGGCAAAGAGGCCGATTTTCCTCTGTTGCTCTTGCAAACTGACGCCCCCGGTCTTTGCTAGGGAGCTCACTCTCAAGCCCTCTGTGGGCTATTTCTCAGCTGGAGGAATGAAGGAGCTCTTTTGCTCATTCAGACCAAAACTCCATACGGCAGCTGTGGCCCTAGCTCTAGCTCTGACCAAGCTTACCCCTGGGTGTAATATAAATGGTATTGATAAATCATGATGAGCTGTTTGTGCTGTTGAGCGTGGATTGTGGAAGACAAGAGGGCCTCCTTTCCTCGGATTCAAGAATGCTTATCTCAAGCATCCTCCAGAGCCTTCTTTCCTGGGTTCAGGCTGCTCCCACCCCCTCTGTGATGAGGAGAAAGGAGAGCAGGAAACACCTAAGGGTATTAAAAACATTGCACCCTTGAGGACAGCTGGAAGGTAAACTGTTTCCAGCAGGGGTTACTGTTGTTTATCCCGTGGTATGAAAATGCCTGTTGTGGGAATGAGAAGCTACAGGCTCATCCACAGGGAAGACATTTTTGTTCAGGACTCTCCCAGTCCGGATCTTAGCCTGACAGCTTCAGCGGGTTCCCATCATCTCTTCGAGCTGCTGCAGGCGCCTGGTTGGATGACGTTTGCTGTCTGCTTGCTGCTTCTCTCTAGCTGAACCTTGTGTCATTTATTCTTCTGCCCTTACTTGCTATCTACTTTATAACCTCACTCATCAGAAACCAAATATACGGTAGATCATGTTCCATGTGGGTCAGGCTGGGTCTCGAAGGCTTAGTGTGTGGCTCATGATGGCTTGTGGTTGACTGCTCTGCTCATGACAGCTTATGACTGGCTACATTCGGTCTTCATTCCTTGAGAAACTAGGACACAGGAATACTAAGTTTCCCAGCTCTACAGTTATGTGGCCTTAGCAAGATGTTAGGTGATTCATGCCTGTAATCCCAGCACCCAGGGAGGCAGATCACTGTGAGTTCGAGGCCAGCCTGCCTGATCTACTAAGTGAGTTCAGGACAGCCAAGGCTACACAGAAAAACCTGTCTCAAAAAAAACAACCAACCAACCAAACAACAACAACAACAACAAAAAGATGTTAGGCTGAGCTTTACCTCTGTGAGGTAGAAATTATGATTTTGCATAATGATTTTTTTTTTTTTTGAGACAAGGTCTCTCTATAGAGTCCTGGTGTCCTAGAATGCCTTATGTAGATGAGACTGGCTTAGAATTCACAGAGATCGGCCCGCCTCAGCCTCCCAAGTGCTGAGATTGAAGGCATGTGCTGCCGTACCTGGCTCTTAATGATATTTCCAGTTCATCGGTTATCAGAATTAAGTAAATAAGCTAGCAAGGGTAATGCATGGGAGCAAGTCCCAGAACCCAGAGTGGATTCCTGAACATTTCCTAGCATGGAAGTGGTGATGGTATGGCCGGGGCTGGTATTGCGGCAGACATTGCCTACCATCTCACAGGCCCCCTTTCTCACCCACATTGTCTTCTCTTGGTCTTTGCCCAAGTGACTCATCATTAAAAGGCTTCTTCAGAGCACGGTTTTCAAAACAGCACCTATTCTCTCAGTGGCATTTCCAGTTCCCCTTAGTTCACTCTGTGTTCTTCCTGGGCATGTCACAGCTGCTCACAAACTCATTTGTATCTCTGCCCACATTGTCTTGCTTACTCCGACGTTCAGGATGTAGTAGGAGTTTGAAGAACACTCATTAAAGAAACAGAAGAATCCCAGTACTCAGGAAGGCAGAGGCAGGCAGATCGCTGTGAGCTCGAGGACAGTCTGGTCTACAAAGTGAGTCTAGGGCAGCTACACAGAGAAACTGACTCAAAGAAACAAAACAAAACAAAAAAAGAAAGAAAGAACAAAGAAACAGGAGAAGAAAAATCGCCATTTTACTCCTTCACCCTAATCTTCTTTTCACTATTCCCAAATGTCTGGGGAGCAATGTATAAAAATGTTATACCAGGACAAAGACAAAATAGAGAGAGAATAAACCGAGTCTTCTTGGGGCATGCTGATTTCTCAGTGGACAATGACTGAGGGTAGCCAAATGTGGCTGTCAGCAGAAATGTCTATGCTCTTAACTGGCTAGAATATTTTAGTGCTCCCCCCAACCAGAAGTGAAGGAATGAACGAGGCTCTGCTGTAGGAATAAATAGTCCACTGAACAGGAGAGACACATTTTAAGGTCCTTCCTTCCCTTTTCTGTTTTGAGAGCTGCCATATCTGTACTTACATAGGTGTGTGCCTTCTAGGAAGAACTGTAAGACACTGTCATGGATAGAGATGGTAAGGGTATCTTTAAAGATTTTTCCTTAGGAAGGGGGCTGTGGGCCTTGGAGTTGTAAGCCTCTTGTGGCAACCAAATTGAGAAGATGGGGTGCTTTTCTCTGGTCTTGGGAAGGATGACTCCCTGTTTTCAGTGTCTGGTGCTGCTCCTGGAAGCAGAAAAGTGCCAGCCAACTCCCCCTCTGGCAACTTTTCCCAAGGATCTGAGAGAGTGTCAATCCAATCTGTTGTTTTCTTTTCCTGTCATAGACACAGGCTGAGGAGTCTTCCCAAGGGACTACCCTTGTTCCTGAGAAGGTCTGAGTCACTTCCCAGCATCCTCTCCCAGGGAGAGCCCAACACCTCATGCAGACTAGTTCATTTTGCTCTAGGAAGCTCAAAGCTGTGGCTTAGCCCTAAGCTGGAATCATCCAGTGGGCCCCAGGCTGAGGCCATCCTAGAGACAGCTGCTAGCAGGAATGATTGTGTTCTCTGGCCCCACAATTTCTTAAACTTCTTGGCATACTCTTTCCCTCCTCCAGGGCAATTAGAGAAGGTATCCGATCTTCCAAAACCTTCTGGAAAGTAGCCTTCTTATCTGACATAGGGCATCTTGCCTGTGGCAGGGCTTAGCCGTGCTGGCTGAGGTATATGAATTTGTGAATCCAGGCCATCCGGACAACGTGTGAGAAGGGAAAGGGCTTCGACCGGAAGCGGTTTCTTGAACACAGTCCTATAAGCTCCCTTCCCACTAAATACGTGCATTCATCCAAAAAGGGCAGCCGAATGTGTGTGAGTTAGGAGCATGCTGTCCTACTGTGGAGCAACTGGTGAGATAGGGCCACCCCACCGGAAGTGACTGCAGCACAGTAAGGAGCTTCTTGTAATTACTCCCATTCTGAAATGTAGAGCAAACTTTGCTTCTGGCCAGCCAGAGCTGTTAGCTGGACTATCCGACTGCAGACAAACGCTGCAGCCAGGAAAGTCCCCAGTGGGATTTCTCTGGCAACAAATGAAAGCCCTGGCTATGGCCCCTGAGCAAAACGCCCTTCTCTGTGGGAGCCCCTCCCCCACGCCGGGAGCTGCAGCGAGTATGGACGCCCGTGTGTGGTGGGCTATGGGCACCCTAGCCCACAGTTTTAGGGCAGCTGTAGGCCCCACTTGGGGACTCCACGGCAGCACAACGCAGCCCACTCCTCACAGCTCCCGCGATCTCAGCCTCAACAGACAACATTTTAAAGGCACTGTTTACAAATCAATTTCCCCTTCTATTTAGGCCTCTCCAAGAGCAGACCCCTCGGCTTGCCCAACCAGGCCCACCTGTCACTGGGGCTTCCTAGCCAGTGGCCACGCTGTATTGATCTTTTTAATCCCCTCCCTTTGAAACACAGAGCCAGCTGATGCGGAGTTCCTCAAAAGACTCCCTCCAAGGCCCCTACCTCTACAGGTAGCTGCGGATCGGAGCTAATTCCCCACTTAAAAGTCTTAATTGGCGTGGGGGGGGGGGTGCCTGAAAGTTTTCCCTTGTGTTTACAAGGTGGAAAGAAAGGATGGCTCACACACTCACGCTTTAATCTGTCTCTCTCATTCTTGGTGGAAGTAGGGTGCGTTTTATTTTTAAATAGTTTTTTTGTTTTGTTTTTGAAATAGGATTGGAGGGTTTGGAGATGATGGGATAATGTTTCACCTTACAGGTAGAGCCGCCAAGGTGGGGGGGGGGTGGCAGAGACACTACTATTAGGCAAGAAAGCCAGTGACTCATTTTTTTCTTATTTTTTATTTACACGAAGCATCTGCAGTACAAAAAATGTAAACTTTGATAGCTCATAATAATAGAATAAACTCTTTATGTACAAAAATACATTTTCATATGAATGAAGCATCCTGAATAAATTAAAGCACCCTCCAGCCCGGTGCCTGAATAGCTATGCAAGCGTTCAGGTTCTTCCTGGAGCAAGCCCACAGTGGTGGGGGTCGGGATCCATAATGCATGAAGCCCACTCCTTGTGTCTCCTTTTTAAGCCCTTTCATTGTATTGTCAGCCGGCTCAAACCGAATTTTCATGCTCGTTTTTCTTCATTAGAGTTCTACAAATTGTAAAATTGACTTTTCACCTCGTCTTCAGGGCCTCATCTGCCCCTTTCCCAAATCACACTGAAGTGGTGGCTGGGGTCAGTTCTGAGCGAGTCACAAAGGAGGTTTTGTGCAGTTCAGAAAGTGCAAAACGAAAGGCCGTGGGGGGGGGGGGGG